ATAGCACCACATTTCAAATGCTTCTACCCTTCTTCTCTATGGCTTTCCCACTGACCTTGTTTTGCTTCCATATAGCGCTGTGCTCCAAACATATAACTTCAGAAAAATCTTTCTTAATTCCAGGTCAATGTTTGACACTAGTAGACTTCTCTTTTAAAGAAAGGCTCTTTTTGCTTGTGCTAATCTGATTTTAATGTCTTCCTTGCTTCGGTCATCTTTTGTGATTTTGCTTCCTAAATAACAGAATTACTTCACTTCTTCTACTGTGTCTTTCCCAATTTTTATATTTAATATTCTCATTTCTGCTGCTCCTCATCACTTTTTTCTTGCTTTTGTGTATCCTTAAGCCGAATTGCTCACTGAGTAATCTATTCATACCATTCAATAATTCCTCTACATCTTCCTTCCTTTCAGCCAAAAGGGCAATATCATCAGCGAACCTTAACATTGTTATCCTTTCCTCTTGAACCTTTATTCCTATCATGAACTTTTCTTTCACTTCCTTCATTGCTTCCTCAACATACAAGTTAAACAGCAGCAGTGATAGGCTGCATTTTTGTCTTACTCCCCATTCATTAAGTGCCTGTCTTTCTTGATTCTCCACTTTTATTATGGCCACCTAATGCTTATAAATACTGTAAATAACTCATCTATCTTTATACTTCAGCCGTACCTTCCTCAAGATTTCAAACATCTTATTCCACTTTACGTTGTCAAAAGCATTCTCCAAGTCTACAAATGCCATAATTGTATCTTTATTTTTCTTAATCCATCCTTCTGTTATTAAACGTAAGGTCAGAATTGCCTCTCGAGTACCCATACTTTTTCTAAAACCAAACTGATCCTCATCAAGTGCCTCTTCAACTTTCCTTTCTATTCTTCTGTATATTATTCTAGTTAATAATTTTGATGCATGAGATATCAAGCTAATTGAGCGGTAGTTCTCACATTTGTCTGCTCTCGCTTTCTTGGGAAGTGTGAAGATAATGCTCTTTTGGAAGTCTGATGGTATTTCTCCGGACTCATAGATTTTGGACACCAGATTGAATAACCTTCTAGTTCCCTCATCCCCCAAAGATTGCAATAATTCTGAAGGTATCTCATCTACTCCCACTGGCTTGTTTGAGTCTAAGTCTTTCAGAGCTCTGTCAAATTCAGATCGTAATACTGGATCCCCAATTTCCTCCATATCAACCTCCTTCACTTCCTCAATCACACTGTTGGACAGTGTTTCCACCTGATACAGGCCTTCAATGTATTCTTTCCATCTATCTGCTGTTTCTTCTATGCTTAACAGAGGTTTTCCATCCGCACTTCTGACATTAACACACTTACTTTTCATTTCTCAGAAATTCTATTTGATCTGCCTGTATGCTACATCAATTTTACCTAAGCCCTTTAATTACAAGCTTTCCATTAGATGTGCATCAGCTGCTAATGTTGTCTTTGTTGACTTTGATATATTTTAAACAAAATTTTTTTCCCTTAATCATATTCTACAGCAATTGTGTAATTATCCATACATTATATATTAATTACATTGAATATAAATTCCTTTCTACCCTTCCTCTTTTCCTCTCATCACTAATTTTGTGTTGTCATTATTATTATATAAATACTCTGATCAATACCTTATTTGTTTTACATATTCTCCTTTTGACCTAATTGAATTCATTTAACTGATTTTTGTTTGCAGCAAGTTGTCATTGTGTATTAACATCCTGTATACTCATGTAATTTTTTAATAATATCCTTGTTATATTTCCATATTTATTATTGTGGTCTTCTCTTGTGCTTTATCTCTTATTGGCCTTGTAGCTGTTGATGCAGCACACTAATAATAAAGAAGTGAATTATTATTAGGATTCAGTCTGATTTATTAGATAATCTTCAGTAAATTATTCATCTTTGAAAGTGTCTTCAGTTCTTCTGGCAACAGTTTTTTATTATCTGAAGATGTACATTTCTGACAGTTGTTTTTTATGCAATAATTTCAATACCAGTTTTTCTTTATTTAAGAGGGATATGTTTGGCGTTTTAAGAATCTAACAGTAAATCAATCAAGCCATGATAGCTGAGTCAGTGTAGTGACTAGCTATGGACTGGGCGACTGGAGTTCGATCTCCAACGGGCAGAGGATTTTTCCTGTAGCCTCTGCATCTAGACCAGCTCTGGGTCCCACCCAGCCTTCTATCCAATGGCTACCGGGGACCTTTCACCCCCACCTAGTGCTGAAGTCAAGACTGAGTAGGAGCTATACCACCTCTCCCCACAAGCAACCTACATGGCATTTAGTGGGACTGCTTTACTTTTTACTTTTAACAGTAAAACTTTGGCCTTGATTCTGGATTGGTGCATCTCTGTATGGCTTCTACATGTTAGTTACTGGGTACCAGGACTGACTGCCAGATTGAAACCACCATCCCAGTTAAAGTTTGTATCATGTGGTCCATATGTCTTGTGGCCCCAGAAGTCGGTGTTATTCCCTGTATGCTCTACCACAGTGGACTTTTCTGTCTGGTCCAGGCTTATGTATTTCGTGTTCTTTACAACTGGCTTTGATGAATCTGCCATTTACTTGTTGTGATCTAATAATTAGTGCTCATTGACCCTTTAACTTAAACTTGTCTCCATTCCATTTCATTCAGACTGCTGAGCTTTTACTGTATTTCACATTGTCATCATGAGGTACTTGCATTTTTCTTTCAGATAATTGTGAAACAGTCATTAAAACTGAGTCAGATATTGATAGTAATGTGGATGAATTAATGGGTGATGATGGAAGTGCTGTTTGGAAACACCCAGGACAGTTGTGTCGCCTTTGTGCCAACAATACAGGAGATGTGATCTACATCTTCAGTTCAGCTGGAAAGCAGCTCAACATAGCAGAAAAAATCAACACAAGTCTGCCAGTTTCAGTATGTATGAAAGCAGCACTCTTGTGATTTTCCAAACCAGTAGGATGTAGGACTGTTCATTAATCTGTGCCTATTGTGATTTCTGCAAGTGATGTTCCTTTCACATATCCAGGAGTGTTATCTGTACTTCAGAATGTTGAATATTGTTAATCAAATAAGTACATGTGTTTTGGCATTATATTCATTTCAGCATTAGCTGTCCCTGCTGCTTATTCAGTATATTCCCATTCCCTCCTTTGCCACCTCCTCCATCAGCAATCCAAAGCAGTAGTATTCTGTGGTAAAATTGAATTAATTTGGACGTGTATCATGGATAGAGCATGAATGTGTCTTAAATGTGTGTGTTAAAAATACTGAGGATGACCAGACAACTTTCAGAGAACAGATATGCTTGTTTAATATATTTCATCAACCTTTCAGTTTGAGCTGGAAACCATGGAATGACATTACCAACTTATGCCACAAATCCCCCTTTGCTGCTACATTTTATTTCCCAGTTCTTTTCTGATATTGTTTCAGCTTTTATATCTTTACACTTCCACAATTTTCAAGAATTTCTGGTACTAAGACATAGACATATTAAAACACGTTATACAGCTAACAAGTAATAGTTTCTTTAAAGAATTCATTATAAACTAATAAATTATTGCCACTTAGGAAATTTAATATGTCTTGAAATTTATCAATACTCCGGTCAGGAAATATTACAAATTAAAATAATAATTATCCTATCACTTTTCAGTTGCCATACACAATACATTTTCAGAATGATAAATTAAATATGGTGTTTTTTATGTGAGTCTTCCTTGTCTCCAGACCTTGGATGTAATCTTTTTCTGTTTCTCCACTCACAAGATTTTCAGGTAACACTTGTCAAAATTTGACATATGTAATTGGATTTGAACACTTCCATTTGTTATTGATGGAGAACAATATGTAGGAATTGAGGCAGGACTGACTTAGGATGAAACCACCATACCTGTCAAAGGCTCAATCCCAAAGACATTATCAGGGAAGAAACTGGTCCTGAAACTTCCAATTCTTAACCAACTGAATGGCCCAAGAAGATTTTATTAACAGTTGTGTCTTTTTAAAATGTGACCAGAGAAACACAAGGGAAGTAGCAGATTGATGCAATTTCCACATCTAACCACAGAAATATTAATTACAGGGAAATCATCATGTAATGTTGGCTAATATACAATTTTCCATCATTTATTGTTTAGATTCTATTTCCCAAACCCTCGTATTTGTGTGTTACATTTCTTCTGTTTATACAGTGATTTTTGTTCCACCCAATCCACAAGTTAGGGCAGCTCAAAACTTTTTGTTTTAGTTTCAATAAACTGCCATAGTTTATTAAAAATTATTTTTACTGTCTGTCAAAACCTTTCTTTCTAACATCATGTTTCAGGTTCCTCTTTGGACCATCTTGAAATAAATAAAAATGTAGAAGGATATTCATTCCAACAAGTAAAGAATTAGTAGCTGAGTTTAAAACCTAAACTCTGAAATTGTCACTTTTTAAGAATTTTACAATGCTTTATTTCTAACCATTTTCATGGAGGTCTTTTGAGAATCTGTTAGTCACTCAGATAGTCTGATGCCTTTTTTTGTGAAACCCAAATGTTTTGAATACCATTGCAATACTGAGGCCTCCTGTAACATTTCATTATGTTCTGACATTTTACCATGAGACTTTAGTAGCCTCCTTTACTATACCCAGGCTGGAGGACCGACCTTTGCTATCTGCAACTATTTATTCAATATTTTCAGTTCTCCTTCATATCTGAACACCTTCTCTTCCATTTGAAACCTGATAATGTGCCATACCATAATGACAATTAACCCACTCAACTGGTTATTCCTGTCATATAACTTTTGCTGCCACTTCTCAAGTAGAACATTATAGATTTATTGAAAAAATTGATCAAAAGAAGTGAAATATTATCATTATTATAACCAGTAACATCCTGAATACAGTATGTCCTGGCCTGTTGCATTAATCAGTGAATATCTAGCATGCCATTTCAGTAATATCTTTGTTTTATCACGATGTTTCTCTGCATATATAGTTCATTCCAAGTTGTATGATTTCAAGCTTTCACGGTTCTTGGGCTACCAGCCATGTAAGGTGGTTTAATAAAGAAAAGACCAACGATTTGAGAACTGTCTTTATCCTTGTCCTCAGTACAACTGCAGTACCCTGAGGACAAAGGTGGTTTTAAAATCATTGGCATTTTCTTCATTAAAACATCTTACTCATTTGGTAGCCTGAGAAGAATTTATTATTCATTCCAAGTTTCTTCTACCAGAGCGTCTCTTAAGTTCCAGTTGTTATCTGTTTTTGTAATGAGAGAATTGTGTGAGTTCCTATTCAGATGTTTTTATCTTATATTGCCTTGAGCGTACCTTCTGTCATTGAACATTCAAGGTGAACTGTGTAACTTGTGTCATCTGTGTTATTTATGGGTTTCAGCCATGCTATTTCACCATATCACCATTCTAACTACAAATGCTATTATTATGGTTTCTGAATTTGTACTTGTTGGAATAAAGACTCTTTTATAGATAATGGTATTCAGCTTATGATGGTCCAAAGATTCTGTTACAATCTAATGACACTCATGGCAGAAAAGGCTAGTTTATAAGTGCGGAATGTCATTCATAACATGCAAAGAGTTAATTGCTTTAACTGTATGATTCCATTTTGTATTCATTTTTGCCTAACTTAAAACTTTGCATACCGTGTAGTGTATTAGAATATAAAATAAGTAAACAAACAACTATTAACACTATAAAAAAGACACTATTACCATACGTGTTTCAACCTCAAGAGGTTATCATCAGTGGTATGAAGGAAATTAATTCATTTAATCTAATGGTTTTAAACTGGATTTAGAAAATAAATAAGGTGTTTCACAAAAGTATTTCAAGCGATACTGCACTAGATGTTGTTATTCACAGAAGTAGAACTATGCACTTAGCTACTGATCCAATGGTTCGGAGGCCGTAGCTGGTCTGTGGCGAGCTGTGGTTGCATCGTCCGTACCTGTGAACTGCAGAGTCATGGGTGTGAATTAATTTCCTTCATGCCACTGATGATGACCTCTTGAGGTTGAAACGCATATGGCTATAGTGTCTTTTTTACAGTGTTAATAGTTGTTTGTTTACTTATTTTATATTTGCCTAACTGATTTCAAAACATGCTTTTGTTTGTCAGGTGCAGCAGACTGATCCTCTCCCAAAGCAGGTGTGCTCTTCTTGTGTTGTGAAATTAGATATGTGCTATGAATTTTCCCAGTCCTGCATTAATGCAGAGGAGAAGCTGAAGTCGTTGATGAAGCTAAAACAATTCTGGTAATATACCCTTTATTTTAAATCATTCATTATCACTTTTTTCACATAGAAAAATGACATCCATTTCATGGAGCAGAGTTCTACTTGAAATGGTGTTAGTAATTCAGCTGGTGGTGAACAAAACTCTCACCTTTCATTCAGTGCAGAGGTTCATTATAATATTTACAAGAGCCTGATACTGGATCCTGTCCTGATCCACTTGAATCCAGTTGACACTATCACACTGTGTATTTTAAGATCCATTTTAATAGTATTTTTCCATTTATACCTGCAACTGCTGATTGGTCTGTTCACTTTACATTAGCTGACCAAAATATTGTATGACTTCTCATCATGCCCTTATATGCTACATGTCCTGCCCACTGCATCCTCTTTGGTTTGGTATAAATGATTAAGATATTCTGGGTTATGCAACTGTCTGGTTGTATACTAGCATTTCAGAGGAACATTGCCTTCATCATCAGGGTAAATGTCATAATGCACCCTGGCATGTTTGGAGCCTTCCAGGAGAATAGTTAGTTCCCTGCAGTATTTGAGATGTTTAGGGCAGTTGAACAGATATTACTGGGTGTTGGGCACAGTGGGATATTATATCTGGCTGAATATTGTTACTAGTTCTGCCTGCTTTGACTAATGTTCCTGGTATTTTGTTTGTCACTCCGTTTCTCCCAGGTATGGAATTGCTTTGGTCAAGGGATGTTGATTGGTAATTAAATGTAGGGTTAATTGTGTGGGTTGGATGATTTCAGACTCAGAACATAGGATCTCTGTTATGAGGTAATATGGACAAAGCAGTATAGCTTACTGGTGGTGGGGCAAAGCAGATTAGAGTGGTGTCAGTGTTGACACTTCTCCTCCTTCCCACAATGTAAAGAGTATGAGTTAAATGAGGTTTGTATGTTAATATGGTCAGCAGTGACCTTTGATTCAGGGTTTTATTTAAGCTCTATTTCCTCTAGCATATGCCCCATGTTGTTTTGTCAGCCAGCTTCTCGCTCCTGAGGTCAGTCCCATCCATCTGCATGGGCAGCATTGATGACTCATACCTTCAGGCTTCTTGCCTGATGTTCACACTTGTGGCAGTGGGTGCTATCTTCTGGATATGGTCTTCTAGAGAGCGAATCTTGGTGTACTTGCACCTCTGATGATATTTGAACGTTACATTATGAATTTGCAGGCCCTGGACCCAGTGGGTTGTCTCTACTTCCAGGTTCTTTAAACTCGGTAGTCATGTCAGGGTGGAGTGGTTGATGTGCATGTGAAACCCTTGTCAGTAAAGGTATTCGTGAAAGTGTTTAGTGTTTTGACAGTAGTCAGTCCTCTCATCCCTGGATTGGGTCTTGTTGTTTTAAGCCACTACTCAGTGCTGGCCATTCTGTACTTGTAGCAGTACACCTATTCCAGCATCACTGGCATCTATGTTGACAATGAACTTCCTCACCCAACTGCAAAAATCCAAGAACTGGTACCATAGTGACTCTTTTAGGGACCAGAAAGTGTCTTCTACTTCTTCAGACTGGCAGTAAGTGCACTTCTCTTCTGTGTGTTTCTTTAGTGGCTTGGTGATGTTAGCAAATCCAGTGATCAGCCTCCAATAAAAGGTACATAATCCCAGTTTAATTCATGTCTGCCCCTCTGTGTCAGTCAACACTGTATGGCCTCCAGCTTTTCTGTATTGGCAGTCACTCCTCTAGTGATACATGGCCCAGATACCATACCTCCTTCCATTTTAAGCTACAGATGGGCTCCACAGAACCTCTCTGGAGCACATTTCACAAGTTGTCAAACTCTCCAAGGAATGCCCAGCTGATAATCATAACATGATCCAGGTATACCAGGCAGGCTTCATAATTATCGCCCCACATGACATACTCTATTTTGGAGCATTGCATAGACTGAAGGGCATAACAATGAACAGTGGAGAATGCTGTCTTCTCTTTGTTGTCAGGTTGTAGTGCCATGTCGTGTCTTATTTAACTTGCAGTTGGATTTCCTTTGAAGTGTCTGTGTCTGTTGTGATATTCATGAGGAAATTAGGAGGAGACTAAATTCTGAAAATGCTTGCTGTTTCTCAGTTCAAAATATTTTGTTTGGCCATCTGATTTATAAGAACTTAAAGATTAAAATATAAGTAAAGCGTCCCGCTATATGCCTATGAAGGCACTTGGGGGTAGCAGAGGTATAGCTCCTACTCTTTCTTGATTAAAATATACTAAACGATAATTTTTGACGTAAATATGTCTATATTGAAAGGTCTTTCCGCAAAAAAGTGTTACGAAAAAGTGTAACGAAAATGTGACAGAAAAATGTGTAAGATGGTTACCTAGGAAATATCAACAATTTGTAAATATGGACTGACAACAATGGTCAGCTTGTATGCATTGTTATGTTACCTAGGAAACGTCATCTGTTTACTCGGCATTGTTGTGTTACATTACTGCCGTCAACAATCCGCTTTCATTATTGTTGAAAGAGCTGAGCTGTGATTCGCTTGTAGAAGAAGTGTGTCATAGACTAGATAATTTTGTGCTGGTAAAAACGTTTTACAATATCACAGGTACTTATCTTATATAAGAATTATTAAGAAATCTATTGTTGCGTTAGTTTGTTGTGTCATACTATGTACAAGATGGATGACATTGAAGCTAAAAGACTCCATAACGCAGAATATATGAGACAGTACAGAAAACGTAAAAAAATAAAAGTATTAAATAATGAACCTAAAGTTCCCAAAAAAATACCAAAAACTAATGCTGAACATACAAGGGAATATATTGATGATTGTAAGAGATTTATTTTGAGTCATTTGAGAAATTATAAAAAGATGTTTTCAGTTATGGCCACAGAAGATCCTAATACAATGCCGATAATATTGACAGGAGATTTTAACAGTGATTTAAAGAAGGAGGAAAATCAAAGCTTTGTCACATTTGTGGAGGAAACGTTTGGCTTAATGTTGATGTCAAATCCTCAATGTAGTACTTTTTATTTTATTTGTAGTGTTCTGTCTGATGACAGGTCCATATGAACAGGATCCTTCCATCCTTTTCTCGGACTGGGACCTGTTCATATACGTTCTTGGCAGATGATCCAGAAGTGGTTTGCCATTGCCTTCTTCTGTGTGTGAATGGAGTAATTGTTGGGATGCCATGGAGGAAAACTCCGTGTTGCCTAGACCACGGCCTTGCCCAACACAAGTTATAAATTCGGGCACCGCCGGGAATCGAACCCGAGACCCCAGGATTACAAGGCCAGCGTTCTAACTGCTATGCCACCGTGGCTCCAATGTAGTACTACTAGATCAAAATCTTGTATAGATATGGTGTTTGCACGATATGTTGATACTCTAAAATGTACAAATTTTATAACATATTTCAGCTACCATAGGCCCATCTTAAGCGTAACTAATTCAAGGTAGGCAGTACTGTCTTACTCAAACTTTAATCAATTGTAAAGCGTGTATAAAGCCACTATATAAACTCCTTACCGTATAGACGTATTTACATCAAATTATCCGGAACCGTGGTTCCACTATAATTTTTTCTGTTGTTTTGTATGGGTGTGAAACATGGTCACTAACTCTAAAGGAGGAACACAGGTTGCAGTTGTTTGAGAATAGGGTGTTCAGGAGGATATTTGGGCCTATGAGAGAAGAGGATGTGGTAAGGAGGAAACTGCATAATGATGAGCTTAAAAATCTGTACTCCTCTCCACATATTGTCAGGGTGATTAAGTCAAGAAAAATGAGATGGGCGGGGTATGTGGCGCTCATGGAGGGGGCAAGAGGTGTGCACAGGGCATTGGTTAGGAAGCCTGAGGGGAAGAGACTGCTGCAGAGACCTAGATGTAGATGGGAGGATAATGTCAGGTGGGATCTATGGGAGATGGGAGTTGAAGGTGACTGGATTTTGTTGGCCCAGGACAAGGACAGGTGGAGGGCTTTGGTTAACTCAGTGATGAACCTTTGGGTTCTGTGAGCCATGTAGTTAGTTGTTCAGCCACAGTTATGATGCCCTTCAGGTGTTTTTGCTTCAAACTCAATGCAGATAGACCTGATGGAACTTATTTCATTTCCTAATTCATCCTGACCAATGCTTATTTTTTCTTGTACAGCATTCATCTTACCTTCAGTATAATTTTTCATATCTCTCACCTGTTCCATAATTAACTAATGTTAGGTACATCTTGAAGTGCACATCTGTCACCTGATAGATTTATTAAACACTGTTACATTGATAATGCTTCATCATTGCACTTGAAATAATTGTTCTATATTATCTATTCTTCCTGTCTTTCAATTTATTTATAAATTATGCTTCTTCTCTTGTCTGCTTCTTCGCTCACATATGTAGCACTGCTGCTCTCTATTCACACACTCATAAGACTCATTCCCTTCTTGAGGAGAGCATACTCATAGTTCCCATTGATGTTTTCTGTCTCTCCCTCTCACACAACCTCTTTATTGGCATGGAAGTTGGCACATTTCCTGCTGCTGTACAACTTTCCTACATGGCCGAGCAGCCAGTATTTTTTGCTCTGTGATTGTTTCACAGAGTTCTCAAAATTTCTGACTCACCTCAGAATCAATGAGTCCTCATGATGCCATTTATAATCTTGTAGAAATTTCCAGAAGTTGTAGCACACTGACGTCACTGTGGTGGATGGGGGCAACAGCTTACTAACATGTGCATCTTAAGTAATGCAACTCAAAACATCCATGGCTAATACTTGTGTTCCTACGAATATGGGGTCGCAAATGTTTCATTTTTGAAGTAATATCCAAACATAAGTTTCAGTGAATGACTTTATGTCAAAGTGAATCTAGTTTCCAGAAAAGATTTTCAATTAATTCAATTGTTGGCGACATGCTTATTGGTCTACACATGCTTCCATCACATCTAAAACGACCTTCAGACACTTGTCATGTCTCCTTGAAACCCATACACAATGATGACGACCTATGGGAGAATGTATGACAGATGATTCGAGGAAACCCTGGTGTGTACGAACGAATTTGTCAGTCTTGTGTACGTCGTGCTCAGGCATGCGTGGAGAATGGAGAAGCAACTTCTGAGCATCTGTTATAAATAAACTTCCCTATCCTTATAATTGGGAATAAAGGCATACATTGAAACTTACTTTTGGCTATTATTTTGAAAAAGAAACATTTGCGACCACATGTTCATAGGAACATTTTTTCTTGTTTTTATCCAGGAACATGTACACAAAGTTTGTAAACATACTTTTGACTCACCCTATATATATAAGTAATTCCATGGAGCAGATTTCTTCTTAAGAATTTGAGTCAGTCAGCTAGTCAAGATATTTTCTGCCTTTTTATTGTATCAGAGGTTTATTACTGTGTTTAAAAGAGCCTGCTACAAGTCTCGTTCCTGGGCCAGAGCACACTTTGCATTGAATACAAATTTTACCAAAATTTAAGTGTTTCTGATATATGTGGTATTAGAACAGCACTACATATTGTCCCAAGAAGGCTTGGAAACGTTTGCAACGTAATATTTCCTAACAATGCATACATGGTATTAGAATAAAGGTATTGATATTCAACTGGATACTTTGTTTGCTAACATATGTCCTTTATCTTCAGGACCCAGTTCCCTGGAGAGTCAATTTCATCATCTGTATGGGGCAGGAATTCCATTTTAAAAATGGAGTCTAATTCAGAAGTATATGGTGAAAGCTTGAAGTTTAAAAAGGAAAATTTAAAACTGTGCAGTTCTTCTTCACATATTCAAAACAACAGGTATAAAGAATTGGATGTTAATGAACAGATTAAAAATGTATTTTGTTGCCCACTCTGCTGTGAAGGACAAATGATGGCATGTTGTAATGAAGAAGAAACTTCTCCAGTGATGACTGATACAAATATGAAAAGTGACAGGCTCCCATCAGATGGCAGACAGTCTTTCGATTTATTCAAAGAGCCAAACAATAGCAGTGCAAAGGAAAACAGTTCATCAGATAAAGCTGACATTAGCACTGATTGCACTAACCATTTTCAAAGTAATGTTGTTTACGAAGTGAGAGATGAAGAAGGAAATAATTACACTTTTGTAGAAAGTGGAATTGGATGGTGGAATGATGAAAGTGCTTTAGAAAGTGCAGAGATTATAATAGAAACATTGAATTCAGAGGAAGCTAAAGTTCTCTGTAACTTGGATGATGAAGATAGAGTCCCAGCTAACAGCTGGAATCTTGTAGGCCAAATGGAAACAGAAGGCAGCAGTTTCATGTGTCAGCTTTGTGGAGTGTCATTCTCATCTGAAGAACTTTGTTTGGACCACTCCAAAATTCATGCTGAGGAGGGCTGTTACCCTTGCAGTCTTTGTGGGATGTGCTTCAGCAGTGAACTAGATATTACAAGTCACCTTGAGGAACATAAGGTAGAGGAAAAGAAAGCAAGGACTAAAATTTCTAAAGGCCGTATTACATGTAGTATATGCAGCAGGAGATTTAATAATGAGAAAACACTGAATGAACATACATGTGGAACTAGTGACACCAAGCAATTTCGATGTGAGACATGTAAGAAGGCGTATATATCTGAAGAAAGACTTAGATTTCATCGCAGATTTCATGAAGGTGCCAGACCAAATTATTGTGTCCAGTGTGGGAAAGAATTTGATAATGAAGGAAGTTTATATTATCATACACGAATGGTTCATGAAGGCGTAAGACCATTTTGCTGCGAAGAATGTGGTAAACGGTTCTACTCTAATGCAAGATTAGAAGCACACAAACGTGTTCATTCTGGTGAGCGGCCTTTTGAATGTGAAGTGTGTGGGCGTCGCTTCTATGATCGAGAGACACTCAAGGGACATTACATCACACATATGTCAGTGAAACCCTTTCAGTGTGATTTGTGTGGTGTGTGTTGTGGCAGAAAGAGCATGCTGAAGCAGCATGTTCGTATCCACCATTCCAATAAATGCATGCCAAAACGTGTGCCATCCCTTATTCACTACTTCTGTAAAATCTGTAATGAAACATTTACCAGCTCATCAGATGTACTGACACACAGGACCACTCACTGGGGAACAATATGTAATGGCAGCAGTGAGAATAAGGAAACCAAACCTCATATGTGTGAATATTGTGGAGAAAGTTTCTCAATGGTGAACTTACTTGGTAAGCACCGGAAACAGGAGCACCCTGATGAACAGCCCTATGTATGTAGTATCTGCAAAGAGACTTCTCGAACTCTGTATGAAGCCAGAGCACACAGGAAAACCCACACATCAATTGATGACCTAGATGGTAAGGAAAAAATTAAGCTAGACCCAGATAAAGTGGTGACACAGAAGGTGTTTATATGTGAAGAATGTGGCATGCCTTTACCTGGTCGTCGCAAGTTCATGGCACACATGAAAGCTCATCGTATGGACCTGCCTTTTGAGTGTTCAGTTTGTAGAAAAAAATTCACTGAAAAACAACGCCTTCTTGTTCATATGCGTTTGCACACAGGTGAAAAACCTTATTCATGTAGTGAGTGTGGAAAGCGATTCACTCAGTCATCAGCTCTGTACACCCATGCGCTGCTTCATACAGGTGAGAAACCCCACTCCTGTGACATCTGTGGTAAAGCATTCCGCATCAAAGCAGACCGTGACAACCATCGACGCACACATACAGGTGAGAAACCGTACCGTTGTGAGTTCTGTGCAAAACAGTTTCGCACAGGTCAAGTGTACTATCAGCATCGTATGATCCACACTGGTGAGCGACGATTTCCCTGTGATGTATGTGGCAAAGCATTTAAACGTTCACATACTCTCGTTGTTCATAAACGAATTCATACCGGTGAGAAACCCAATATTTGTGACATCTGTGGAAGGGGATTTCGCCAAAGGACAGATATGAAGAAACACAGGGCTCTGCATGCTGTCTAATCATGATAATAGGTATTTGAGTGACAGGTATTAGGTTTATTTCTTCATTGCAACACAGCAGATTTGCAAGATTATTTAAATATATTTGTTATGCAAAATAACATCCTACCTTAAGTTTCTCAGTCTGACACTGAAGAGAAATTGACATGACAGCCTGTAATGCATACTACTTCAGAATTATAAATAATCAGAATAAATCTAATGCACTCGAATTGAGAGAATGGAATGATTTTGTCGGTTGTGCTGTTACAAGTGACTTCAGGAGTGAAATGTGTCTCCCATGATGGACTAGTAGTGTTAGCGTGCTCGCCACAGGACCCAATGTTCGCGGGTTCAAATCTGACAGAGGTCAATAGATTTTTAAGGGTGATAAAAATCTGTAGCACAACTTCCTTTGGAGGAGAAGTAAAGCTGTGGGTCCCATGTCGTAGATTTGCGGCATGTAAAAGAACCTTACGAGCATGATACGAGATGTTTCGTAAACAAAATTCAGCAGCCACTTCTCACCCAAGTCTCTCCTGATTTACTGCTAGATGGCTCTGGCAGTTAAATCAGGACTGAGTAGAAATTGTGCAGTCAGTGAGCTGGTCACTCAATACTCACGAATGCACACTTCAAAGACTAGGAAATCTCCGAATAGGAGGTGGTGAAATCCCACAAAAGGATTTTATAGCCAAGGAACTGATAGAAATGTATTACCTTTTTTTCATATTTTTGCCTGAGAGTAGTTGAATTGAATGTTCTGAACTTTGTCATTCATGATAATACAGCCACTACAGTGAACACTGAACACAATGGTCATTTACAAGCTGTCCTATCATTGTTGTCGAACCTGACACCATGCTATACATTTCTGTAGACTGTGTTCTTGTAGGTGGTTACCAGCATTTAACATTTCAGATGTATCATCTCCATCTTCAGGGTTCAGCTACAAGACTATGTAGCATCACAACCTAAAATTTCAGACTCTCCTTATTGTGTTTATTTTCTAATGTGTCCTGATAATAGATGCCAGCATCAAAAAAGAAACTCTTTAATTAATGACAGTATTCCATAATATTTTAATTCATACTTTATAATTAATGCTACCTCTGTTCGTTTAAATATAGACTTTACAATAAGAAATATAAATACACTATATATTATTAAAGATGAAAGATACGATACGTACATATGAAGAATCATAAAAAACCTGGCATTCTGCATGACTACTGTCTGAGTTCAACAAATCTAATGTTATTAATGTCATATTTAGGTAAATTTAGAATCCAGTAAAATGGCCGTTTGCTTATGGGCTAGTTTGTACATATGCTCTTAAGAATGTATGTGTCAGAATTTGTTTATTACTTCAAATTTGAGTATCTCACAAATTCTTATTATTTATTTTCTTTTTGGGAAGAACTTATTACATAGGTACATATTTTTGTCTATATTAAATTTCTTGGACATAACCTCAAAGTTTTGAACCATTGCTATATATTTAATTGTTGGTTTATTAATATTTCTTACAGAATTTGAGGCTTTGTATATGATTTCTCTGTATGCCAAACTGAGATAGGTCTAACTTTGATGCGTCACCATTGTCAATTTGAATTTAGGAAATAAACGAATAATTATGCAAGTTAGCAGCATAATGGCTTTATTCCTGATATGCGGCTTATGTATAAAGCCAGTTGTACATGTTGATATTACCACAAGCCACAAATTTTAAAACTGTGTAAGGAGTCAAGTACTGCCATACAAAAGTTGTAATTATGAAAATAGTCCATACCAGAGTCTGCAAAAAACAAGCTACCAACCAGTTCTCCCATAAATGGTGACATGGCTAACTGGCTAGGAAACAAAGAGATCCCATTTAATGTAACAGTGCATAAATTAGATCTATATAACCTTACAAATTTGAACTGGCCCAGATAAATATTCAGCTCTTGGTCATACTGCATATTGACTCGCAACTCATGAGTGATTTGAAAGTAGCTGAATTGATATGGACCAAAATTAAGCACATAGTGAGGGAGAGCAATGTTACAGGAGGCTGATTTTGGCAGAGGTTTCAAATGCTTGCTGAAGATGCTATAAATTCAGTAATGAAAGAAGATAGATAAGGCTATTGTTAGGATGTTATGGAAAATAAAAATAATTATTGCAAACTGACAAGGTTCTTCCTGATCTTGAGACACTTTCATAATTTCATTCAATGCCAAAGATAGCAGTGTAGAAAGTGTTTGGTTTGGAGGTGAGTGGAGAGCAGAGGAACAAAAATTACTTAATAGAATCTGCAAATGACATTAACCATTATATACTGGCTTTGGTGCTGTCAATAATGACCAAATCGTTCGAGACGAGAGTGTGGAAGGACGGTTGTCCTTCCACACACTCGTCTCGATGTTCATTTGTTTGAGTCACGGGTCAAACCCAGTGACGTGCCAGGCGCTCGTACGGTTGCAGCGTCGAATCTTTTTAATAAGTGCGGAAGGGATTTAGGAAGATTTGATAGTGGGCGTGGGTTTAGGTCGGTGAGCATGGAACTCCGATTCCCAGGGAATATACGGGGGAAGGCATTGGTGGGGTTGATGTTTTACGTAGGATGAGCAGTCTCGAGTAACAAAAGACGCCGCTGGTGAGCCTGGAGACGTTCACTTTATTGTCTTCTGAGACACTTTGAAGACCAGTTGCAGTTTATACTAGGCAGAGCGATGAATCGGCTGTTGTATAAAGAATCTGAAGTAAGTGGAGCTCGATCTGCACGACTTGAAGATCAAAAACTTGAGAGGCGTGAGAGCTTGAGAGGGCCCAGCAACCACACTTGCTCCTTAAATACTAATGCGTTACGTAATTTGTTATTGAATTTGACTTCATGCGGCGATCTGATTCGTTCCCCTACAACGGCGGGAACGCGCCTATAAGTCGTATTCAAATTCAATTGGTCAGTCGCACTGAGGCGATGGTCGTAATGCAGTCGTCACCCCACATCTGGAAAGGGTTCATTCCACGTCTGGGATGGCTTAAGTGCACGTTGCGTAACATTTTAAAAGATTGCATAACTTTTGTTTATTTCACGCTCGAGAAGAGAAACTCAAGCGACTTTGTATGGCTACATTCTTTCAATTTAATACATTTAACAAGGCCAAAATTAATAACTCAGTCAAATTTAGATGAAGTATAAGGCGTTCCAAAAATCATCTAATTACGCCTTCTTCGTTTTTATATAAATCAGATTAACATGCCAAAGCCTGGTTTACCCTTCATCTCAAGGTTCAGCCCATTCGGAGATCGAACTACGATCCTGGACTGGCACAACCTAAATATTACTCAGCAGAAGTATTTACATTTCATAAAGAATCAGGTGAACAAATAAATGACATATCCTAACCATTGAGCAGTTCCACAAAGTTTCTTACTTTAAGTAATTTATACTTTCTATACATACATGAATCAAAGCATATTTTGTAAACAATTAATTTAATTTCCGTGAATTTTGACTAGAATTATTGCCACCTGTAGAATTTATACACAGAAATAGGACCTTATAAATTTTAAGAACATCAAATTTGTCACTGTAATTTATTGTATGAAAAATAAAATATAATCAAACATCCAGTAGCTTGTGTCACAAAAATAATGTGATAAAGCAAATTATTATTAATACGATCAATTCGTGTTCGACACTTCACTCGTAAGTCAGATGTTATAGTAGTGATGTGTGCGAGGTAGAACTATTAATTTTTGGTGCCGGAGATCTTGACTGAAACAAGGTAAGTTTATTTACTACTCGTATAATCTCGAAATGTCTCACTTAAATTTCGAAAAAAATTAATTACAACTGGAATAACTTTTATTATGTTATGTAACTGCATATTATCAGCGTGATGTTACTTGTTAGAGCGCGTTATATTAAAATTTGTAGCTAGATTGTGTGGTAATATTTTGTGCGTGCGACTAATTAATTTTATCCCCAGTTTTAAACTTATTAATAATTAATTATACTATTTTCTATTCGGACTTAGGGTTATGACCAGCATATTTCAAAAATAAATATATACCTTCCAGGAGCAACTAAGGGAACACTTAAAAAAGAAGCAGATGAAAGAGGGAAAAAAGGACAGACTGATATAACCAACTGGCTTAAGACAAAAGATTTGCAGCAATAAAACAGTTCCCCAAGGGTCAATTCTAGGGCCTTTGCTCTTCGTAGCTAACTAACTAGATGGCTCAGAAAAGTGATGCTAAGTTTAGAGTTGCACTATGGTCCGATAAAAAGTCACAAAGTTACAGGCTGATATTACTAGTTCTCATTTTTATCGTTTTCAGATCGTGAAACGAACAAATCTGGAACTTGGTTCATTTGCGTGCAGCGACATCGTAGTTCGGCGGAGAATACCGCAGCAGCTCATTTGTGTGTGGATTCAGCAGGCGTATTGATATTCACATACAGATGTAAGGTCCGATTTTTGTTTGAAGACATCATATCATAAAAATGCTGATTATTTCAAACACGCTTAACTACGAGTTATACAAACCGTGTTGCAACTCCAACGTCATGTTCATTCATAAATTTCATGTTAACGATAAAATACAATCGGTATATAACCTCACTGCCCCCAAGAACGAATTAAGCGAATGTTTTGTTCGCGGCTGCATTACTGACCCTTCTCGAAATGTAAGAATGAAGTGGTTCCTAAACTTAAAATGGTACGTTTCCAGTCTTCATAAATAAGTTCTTTAGAGTCAGACAATAACTAGTTCAGATTTGCATTATGATCCAATTTAAATTCCCTAAGTTACAGGCAGATATTTGGTGTTGTCATTTTTCGCGTTTTCTCATAGTGAAATGCACGAATCTGTAACTTCGTTCATTTGCGTGCAGCGACCTCATAGTTCGACGGAGAATATCGCAGCAGCTCATATGTGTGTGAATTCAGCAGACGTATTGATAATCACCCATGGTCCGATGGTTGTTTAAAGACGTCATATACTAATGTTGAATATTTGAAACACATTTAACTACGGGTATTACAATCGTGAATTAACTCGAACGTCATGATCCTTCAAAAATTACGTGTTATCGATAGAATACATACAGTAATTAGCTTCACTACCCCCAAGAACGTATTAAGAGATTGATCTCTTCGCGGCTGCATTACCGACCCTTCTCAAAATGTAAGAATGAAGTGGTTCCTAAACTTAAAGTGGTACATTACCTATCTTCATAAAAACGTTTTTTAGAGTCAGATAATGACTAGTTTAAAGTTACACTATGGTCGGATAAAAAGTTATCAGTGGAACCACGGTTCCGGAGAATTAGACGTAAATACGTCTATACGGAAAGGAAGTTTATATATTAGCTTTATTCTAAATATTTCCTTTATACATGCTTTACAATTGAGATAAGTTTGATTAAGACATTACATATTTAACTTGAATTAGTTACGCTTAAGATGGGTCTGTGGTAGCTGAATGTAATGTAAAGTAATGTAATGTAAGGTTGTGTAATGTAATGAAATGTTTTATAGGTAACAATAATACCGAGTAAACAGATGACGTTTCCTAGGTAACAAAAATGCCAAGTAAATAGATATTTCTTAGGTAACCATTATTGTCGATTTGTTGATAAAATTGTTGTTTATTTGTTGATAGATGACGTTTCCTAGGTAACCATTCTACTTTCCTCACACTTTTTTGCGGAATGACACTGACCCTAAAATATAGACGTATTTACGTCAAAATTCACAACCTTACAAGATGATATTTGGTGTTGTCATTTATCGCGGTTTCAGATCATGAAACGCACAAATCTGGAACTTTGTTCTTTTGCGTGCAGCGACCTCATAGTTCGACGGAGAATATCGCAGCAGCACAAATGTGTGTGAATTCAGCAGACGTTCTGATATTCACTCTCAGACATTTGCGTACAGCGACCATGTAGTTCGTCGGAGATTATAGCAGCTGATAATATGTGTCTAATTTCAGAAGATGTAATGATACTCATTGACAGACATGGTTCGATGGTTGTTTGAAGTTGACATGCCCTACAAAATTTCATTATTTGAAACACTATTATCTTCGACTTATTCAAACGCGATGCAAATCGAACGTATCATTCCTTCATAGTTAACGCGTTAACTATAAAATACAAACTTTATTTAGATTCAATGCCCCGAACAACGTAATAAGCGAGTGTTCCGTCCGCTGATACATTACCGAACCATATCAAATTATAAGAATCAATGGTTATAAAACTTAAAGTGTTTGTTTTCAGTCTTCTTAAAAATGTTCAATAGTTTCAAAAAGTAAATAGTTTAAAGTTGCAATATTGTGCAATTAATATTTGAAAAGATACAGACTGATATTTTGTGTTGCAATATTTCGCGTTTTCAGATAGTGAAACGCACAAATCTGCAACTACGTTCATTTGCGTTCAGCGACCACGCAGTTTGTCGGGAAATAACGCAGCAACTAAGAAGCCTGTGAATTCAGACGACGCATTGTTATTCACTGTGAGACTTGTGGTTTGTTGGTTGTTTGAAGACGTCTTATCATACAAATGTTGATCGTTTAAAAACTCTATTAACTTGGAGTTATTCAAACATAATATAACTCGAACGTCACATTCCTTTCAAATTTACATTTAAACAGTAAAATACAATTAGTATTTAGTGTCACTGGTCAAAACATCCTAATAAGCGAAATTTCATAACACGGCAGAATTACAGACCGTTCCCAAAGTGTACGAAAGAGTGGTTCATTTACTTAAAGTGGTATGTTTCCAGTCTTAATAAAAATGAATAATAGGGTCAGATATTGAATAGTTTAAAGTTGCACTATTATCCGATTAATATTCAAAAAGTTACAGACTGATAATTTGCGTTATCATATTTCGTGATTACAGATTGTCAAATACACATTTCTGCAACTACGTTTATTTGCGTGCAGCGACCACGTAGATTGTCGGGGAATATCGCAGTAATTAAGAAGTGTGTGAATTCAGACGACGCATTGTTATTCACTGAAAAACTTGTGGTTCGATTGTTGTTTGAAGACCTCTTATCATACAAATATTGATTATTTGTAACACTATTAATTTGGAGTCATTCAAACATGATGTAAGCCGAACGTCATATTCGATTCAAAATTACGTGTTAACGGTAAAATACAATCAGTATTTAGTGTCACTGGACCCAACAAAGTAATTAGCTAAATTTCATAATCAGGCTGCAATACAGACCGTACTGAATGAGTAAAAAATAGATGTTCATAAACTTTGAGTGCATGTTTCCAGTCGTAATAAAAATGTACATTAGGGTCAGATATTGAATAGTTTAAAGTTGCACTATTATCCGATTAATATTCAAAAAAGTTACAGGCTGATATACAGTGTTATATTTCGCATTTTCAGATCGTGAAACGCACAAATGTGATACAACATTCATTAGCGGGCACCGACTACGTAGTCTGTCGGGGATTATCGCAGCAACTAAGAAGTGTGTGAATTCAAACGACGCAATGTTATTCACTGAGAGACATGTGGTTTGATGATTGTTTGAAGAAGTCTTATCACACAAATGTTGTGTATTTGAAACACTATTTCCATCGAGATATTCAAATATAATGTACCTCGACCGTTATATCCCTTTCAAAATTACGTATTAACGGTTTGATACAATCAGTATTTAGTGTCATTGGGACAAAGAACTTAATAAGCGAAATTTGAGTCCCCGGCTACATTACAGACCGTTCCTAATGTGTAAGAAAGAGTGGTTCATAAACTTAAAGTGAAATGTTTCCAGTCTTAATAAAAATGTGCATTACGGTCAGATATCGAATAGTTTAAAGTTGCACCAATGCCCGAATGATATTCTAAAAGTTACAAGCTGATATATTGTGTAATATTTAGCATTTTCAAATCGTGAAACGCACAAATCTGCAACAACGTTCATTAGCATGCAGCGAACACGTAGATTGTCGAGGAATATCGCAGCTTCTAAGAAATGTGTGATTTCAGACGTCGCATTGTTATTTGCTTAATGTACAATTTGGCTGCACGCGACAGAGACAAGCGACCGAGGCAGGCGACAGAGACGGGAGACGGACACATCGCAGCTTGTCGCCACACACTTTTGAGGTGTCGACCGAGACATGCGGCAAAGTGTTTGTTTTCTTTGTTTTGTTGAGACATACGTGCACATATTCAAAAAATGCTTCTAAAAAGGTTAATCGAAGAAGATGATATAAAAATAATTATTATATTTGTTTACCGTCAAATCACAATAAAATAGTAAGATAAGATAATTAAAATGATTAAAATATCATCTTATGTTCCATATCGAGCATTCGATTTACATCGGAACATTCACAACACGTTTCGGTTTATCAAAGAGTCATCAGGTGTAAATTATAAACTTTTAAACTCAAATTACAATTATTTATAGTTTTTACAATTTTATA